GAAACTGCGCAAGGTGTTTGTCCCACAAAGGATGATTTTACTTGACATATTTCCCACCCCACAAGCTGCACAAATGGCTAGGACATAATTTGGAGCAAATTTAGTGATTAATTGTTGTATGTGGCCAGGATAAGATTGCATTAGGGGGAATAATGAAATGTTTGCGTATGCAATCATGTATCACTGAAGCCGTGTAATAATAATAATAATAATAATAATAATAATAATAATACTGTCAGCTGTAGGCCGTAACAGCGCTTCGCTGCCGCGCGACCACCACTAGTCGCGCGCGGCTGAGTATACAGCGAGGAACCCAACCTTACGAGCATTCAAACCGGTGACCTTATGATTGCAAGCCAGGTGTGCAGACCACTCGGCCATCAGCCAACACTGAAGCCTTGTGATCGAGACTAAATTGAACTACGGTCAACATTTTGCGCAACGACCGGTTGGATGACATTGCAAATGGGTGAGTATGCATGTACGCCCACACAAGCGCACTTGTCCCTCCCGAAGTCGCCTGTGACGCGTAAGACCTTGTTTGCTCCAGTTTGATCACACCGGGTTACGGATCCAAGACCATGACAGCTTGAGTCTATTTATCGAATGTTCACGAAGGCTAAAACTTACCTCATGAAACCGCCCGCACAACTAGTGTCATGTTTCACAGGTAAAACTATCCGGTATACTTTGCGATAATAGGGAAAACTATTCCTTAACCGGCCGCATTTACTTCAATCTTGAAATCGTTAGTCTCTTTCTTACGCAGCAACACGGTTCTTAGGAGGCGGAAGTTAGTAACCCTATGATACTGTGTACAGTGATGACGTCTACGTAACTACTGCATGCGCTCTAGGGTCGTCCACTTTCTCCCTACACTGTTCGAATAACACGTTTTAAGCGAAAAAGAATTTGTACATTACTTCTCTGGACCCCGCGATTACCGTATAATGCATCCAATGTATGGATCATGCTGGCACATTGTCTGGTATTTATCATCAGTGTTGGACAACAACTTCTTTCACAAGATGACGGTGCACTAGCTTGAAAAGCGGCACGTCCAATTGCAACTGAAGGGAGGGAACCCCATAAAATATTTCTCAGCATTTGCACTGAAAGGAAAGCAGTTTATGAACAAGATTACACAACAACTTAGGACATCCGCCGGCTTCCATTTGTTTATGTTACCGATTTCATGAGCAACAAAGCTGAGCGTCTGATGACCTATATAACCACACAGTATGATGTAGCAGGGCACTTTAATCAAAAGTAATGGTGCTCCGTGGGCTATCCACTTCAATTTACACACGTGATCAGAAGTTAAGTGTGAAAGTAGCCAGCTAAAGTTGAATGAAAGCGTTGAATCAGATAAAGTTGATCCAGCTCTCGATAATTACACGCCATTTTCTTCAGATGATATTCGTGAGACCATGGAGCCGACAGGCTTGAACGAAAAGTGCAGATGCTGACAATTATCCTCTTAGGGAGCCATTGTCAGCCTTTTTCACACCTCGGTATATCATGAGGAAAATGCCTAAAGTGGTGTTCTCGATACAGAAACTAAAGATGGCGCTACAGTGACCGTTTAGGGGATAGAGGTATGCCACGTTTTTATGTGTGGTTAGGAATCCAAATGGCACGCGAGATCTCCGCAACGTATTTTCTACCGTGGACACTGCGGTGCGTATGATCGCTCCTTTGGTCAGCCCTACTGCCTCCATCCGGCCGTCAACTTGACTTGCATCCGTTTGTGGCAACGTGTGCGCAATGGAACACGATCATTGGATCAGAAAACGTTTCACAAATGTCGGCATGCATAGTCAAAAACGGTCATTCTGAAGCAAGCACCCGGTCGCTAGAATGTTGGTCTTGATGAAGTGGTATTTCAAAACAGGTTGCTGTGGACCTTAAGTAACCAACAAAAAAATATTTTTGCAATATCTCACATCAAAAATATTACCGATCCCAGTCAATAGCGCATTATCAGCGCGTATCCACTTCGCGGACGAGGCTGAACCGCAAAACGCTATATGTATGCCTACGGGTCCACAACGCATCGACTATCTCCTATCTAACGCGTGTTTGCTTGACGCGAACTTTGTTACTCAAGAACCAACTAATAAATTCGGTCAGTGATATTAGCTCTTCCATGGTTTCAACCTGTTTCTTCAGTAGGAATGACTTGTAATAGCCTTTCTTTGTTAGCACTAGTGAATACACGTGTGTTACAACTGAATAGTCACCCGTTCTGGGTGTAGGAAATACATTCTTATGATTTGAGAGCGTAGTCGATGAGGAGGAGTATAGTACCACATGAGGAACTGGTTTCACCGAGTGACCATCAGTTGTAGGCTGACCAACTTCGTGTGAAAAATCGACGCACATGTGCGCGTGCTGCACTTGCTAAGTAGTCCCAACTGTCGAAGTAGACCGATTCTGTGGCCAGCAAGCCAACTCGACCCCGGCCTGCTGCATTCGCCTGTACCGCATCACTTTGTGTACGCATTAACCCACCACCGAATCACTGCACTATCCTCAGTTCTTCGATAGAAGAAGCTACTACCTCGACAATTTTCAATAGAATTACCCATCCGTGCTCCTTCTGCACATTCACACTAGGCTTCGATCACAGGGTGGCTTGTAGTCCGATCTAATTAAATGTACGCATATGATGCTGATCTGATGGAAGGTTACTTTTGCGTGTGTGGACTGTCCGAGAACAGTGATGCGGATGCCTCAGTATCTGCTGCCGTACCCAGTCTCTGTGTACAGTCGAGAGCCATTGTGAATTAATCGTCATCTCACTGTGTTGAGGCATTCCGGACAGTAGTTTGAGATAAGTTCCCGTGGTAATATTCCATATTTTCTCAAAGTTAACAGGTAATGTGTAGGGTCAAACAGAGCCAGGTCAAGGCAAGCTTTATGTACCTAAATGGGTGCATTTTCAGCGTATAACATTATTAACTGCGAATCTTCTAAATCGCAACTAAAGGGCACAAGTTAACTAAGGGGTAGACGTAAATGGAAAGCATTGAACACTGTGGATTTGCAAGTAATTTTAGCTGTTTCTTGCCGCAGTCCGCTCTTATTCAAGCAGGATTCACACGTCTGAAATATCATTGGACGGCCGTTTCGACCTTCTGAGTCAGTCAGTGTGCGCGTACTTCCGATTTCTGCCCGCTTCCGACCCCATGACTCCTAGGTGCCAGCAGCTTGTGCCAATGAGCCATGCATGACGGCGGCGGACCTGCCTGACTGACGGTTGATTACGATCTAGCCTGGCTGATCGTCCAATGCCATGCTAGTTTCGAACTATGCAGAGGACCGTAGTTGTCCACAGAAATGAAATGTTTGCACTGTCATCACTCGTATAAACGATGCATCTTTCCAGACCATCGATCGTACAATGTTGAACAGAAATTTTCGGGATTTGCATCCAGTCAACAGGGTATTAATGAAGATTTTTCTTCGTAACTGGTTTCAGTTGACCTAAACTTTCGTGTCTAAGTTGAGAATGTTGCTCTGTATCCAAGGACTTGAATTCAAAATGTGGAATGAATAGGTCGGTCACAGTGAGCTTGAAGATTGTTTGAACAAAGAAGCTGTCAAACTATTCTTGCAAGATTGGCAAATATACAGATAAGGTAAAAAAGATGTTCAGCGAAGACGGCAACGGCAGATTTAAAGGACTTGCCAGCCTTGCAAATTAGGGTACTATGTTTGTTAAATCACATTTGCGTAGAGTGTTAATTCCACTTGGGCTCACTCTGTGGTAGTGGGATTTGTATTGGTGCAGCACTGTCCGAGGTGTAGTAGTGTGGACGTGCTCCAGCAACGTAACTCGTGGTACACGTTGTAAATCTGTTATAAATTCGTATGTTTCCCCACATGTGGTGCGTCGATATTGTGACCTGACTGTCGGCCACAACTACTGTGGGGCGACATATCGGTCGGCGTTCTTGATACATGTTCTTTTACGAACCATGGTCCAATATGCTTTGAATCTTGTGACTGGTAACTAAAGAAATTAAGTGATTTGAGGTACAGGTGTGCTCTCGGATTTCGAGAATAACGAGAGTTCCCACATATGCACGGTATCGTGATATTGGTGAATTTTGTAAGTGAATATCATTTGTCCAGATTGCTGGGTCCGTGTTTTTGACCACTTAAGAATATCACGTTGGAATTTCTCAGCCATCCACTTTACATTATTACGCTGTGTCAGCTTGCTTCTTTAAGTCGAATATGCTCTCCATGATTTACAGCGTCCAAGACTTCGTTTCATTAATGATTCGCACTTTAGAGCAACAAGCTGTTGCTGCCGCACTTTTCAGACTTTAAATGCTTTTCTTGTGCCCGCTAAACCCTGTAACTAGTGCTTGTTGGCGTTATGCAAACACTTCTTCGCACATCTTTTTGCCTGTACAGATACCCATACCCGTGCCAGTGTGTTGATCCACTAGCTGTGCGAAACCTAGTATTACAACAGCTTACATCGCCGTCAGCGGTTGCGTTAGTTGTGAAGAGGTAACAGACCTGGGACGTCTTCCCGATGTCAGTGTTTCTGTTCGCACTATGCCTGTTTTTAACAGTGGCACCCAATACCTTGCATTCAGCTTCGGGGACAGCCATCGCCTTTTTATCTTAATTTCGGACAACCTGGTTTACGAAAATCCATATTATCCAATTGAGTATTATTGTTCCAGCCATGATAGATTTTATTGGGAGACTCAGTAGCACACCATTGTATTTACGGTTTGTGTGTACTTATCAGTTTGACCACACATGGAAATGCATGTAGCACTGATTTCTAACTTTCTACGGCACTTCACTGCCTCTTTATGGCATGCAAATTGGTGTAACGCGATTGGTGGTGATCTCCACGATGAATGGCTTCTAGCCATAATGGGCTTATTCAAAAAAGCATTGGAATCTGTTTTAGGTGCACAAGGCGGATTTCACATTTTCTTCCATTTGTATAACGCTTTCTCATATTCCAGCTCAAAGCAAAGTGGGTAGAAAAGGTGCGCTACGCTTCCAGAAACATCATCCAATAGATATTCAATATGAAGAGTAAGTCACACTTGTGCATCACAGACACCTAAACTATAGTATTATGTTGCGCCTTAGATGATGGCTAAGAGGTACGCCATGACGCCGTCAGTTTCTAGGAAGATCACTAAAGCACTGCACCCATACAGCGGAATACAGTGGGCGTTAATTTAGGTTGACTTTACACGGATGTTCAAAGATTCCTCATCTTTTAAAGTTGAATTTAGGGAACATGCTGTGTGGTTGGGTTGCGATTGGCAACCTCTAATGAAATCTCGGTTCACGTTGAGGTAAACGCAAATATTTCCAGTCCTCATCTTTGGTTCACAGGTTGGCATAAACAAGGCAACGACCAATAGAGCCGGATTACTTCACATGAGCGTTTACACAATAATGCCTGAGTATCCTCAAGCGGATCATTGCATTACATTGTGGGCACCTGCTCCTCAGCTCGGATTCATTTCCTTGAACGCTACTGTTACAAACACATATATCCGTGATTTTCAGCGTACCTAGATTGGCGGTGAGGTAAGCGCTTCTACCATACATTATCAAGGCGCTAGCACAAACGAGTATCCGAATGCCGATCCAACGCGGTGTGGATGGCATTGGGAAAATAGACTTTCATACTCTTGGGAGCAAGTGAGCAACCATGTGCTACTATGCACATATCAGCGCACTGAGGATGCCTCCTCACATGGTGGCGCAAAGTAGGCAAACAAAGTCCCAAGCACGGCGAATAACCGAGCAATTGAGGATATGACAAAGCATGCGAACTGGTTGGGAACCGAATGCGATTGCTTTCAAACGCGCCCACTTTTCGGTCTTGTTCTTGTGAAAAAAGTTTCTGTAGGGCATCTTTCCACGATATACATCTGAACAAATTTTACACTCGAACCTCGTATTACTTTGAGACTAGCACTTAATAATTCCGACATTAATAAAAATTTCTCTCATGGTACACAACAGAGATGCGGATTCAGAGAATACAGAAGGCATTATAGCAAACCAACTCCTCTGCTCAGTGGATCCTACTCACATTTCGGCTATCTCGGACTCCACGGACAAAGAACACCATCAACTGGAAACAGATGAACCAGATTTCCCTGCTGAATTCCAAGATTCAGTAGGAAAGCAAATGCGTTCGTCGAAAGCATTGAAAATCGTGGCAAATTCCGATTTGATTACACGCACATCCAACCTGTGCAGAACAGAGAGGAAGAAGCTGAAGCCATCTAAAGACTGCGCAACACTGCAGCCAACCTCACAATCCAGTAGTGCCACGGTTGCGGCTGCGACAGTGGCTCTGAATACCGAGCGCTGTGCCTGGTGCAACCAGTTACTCGAACGTTATGATGAATCAACGCTGGGATTGGGAATCATTTGCTTGGCGACATTCGTTCATCAGGAACCAGCTTTAGCAGCGCCATTTTTAAGAGAAATGATGTTAATAATGACGCGCTTGGCAAACACCCCTCTCTATTCATGGCAGTCGACAGCGTAAGTTTCATGGGACTGCTTAAACGCATCATTTACTTAACATGCTTGGCCAACTGTCGTCGTTCGCGACGGATGTTTTCTCAGGGGTCAAATTCCGCTAATGATGTCTTCACGGACACACGTAATTGCCTCATACTTTTACAGATTCTTATTTGGCTGCCTCATTCAATGTCTCTTGTGTTGTTGATTGGCCGAGCTGTGCTTTAGTAGCTTCTTTTTAGCCATTATTGTGCCCAATATAAGGATACAGTGCTCTTCTGCACACAATTCTGTCCTGGCTCTTGTTCTTATTGTCTATGTCGTGGGGTGCGAAAGGTTGAAGAAGAAACAACCGAAACTAACATTTCCCATTTTTCACATGGTAAGTACGGAAGTCAACTATAGGGTGCATAAAAGGTTTTGAGTGAAAAAGATCCAACGTAATGATAACCACACTGTGCTACAAAAAGTTATTTTCTACAACAGAAATGCCAATGTCGTTAGTTTATAGAATTCACTCAACTGATCGTGGAACTGTATTCCGATGTTACCTAGCATGTGTCACGTTACATTGTTTTAAGCAGATGATTATTTGCAGTGATGTCAAGGCTACGTCGTACGAATTATAGGTAAATGTACTGAATCACAACATATACAGAATGCATCTATGTGGCAAATATGTTAAAAGCATCACTGCAACACTCGCCGCTAACTACTAACTGCAGCTTGGCACTGGGAAATAATGATTTCGCCGAGATCGTCGCTTGTATGATCCAGCGCCCTCAAGCTGCAGAAACCAGCAAAGTCACCCATCATGGAAGGCATGTAGTTACTACTGTAGCGCTGCTCCATGACTGCATTGTCTTGGTGAAAACGCTCACCATGCTCATCGCTAACAGCTCCCAAGTTCGCAGGGAAAGTCAAGGTGATTATGTAAAGAGGGCATCTTAAGTGCCATTCGATTGCCAACAGCCCGATAGTCCCCAACGAGCTTCCTTATGATGTTCTTGTAGTTCTCTGCCTTTGTTCTGCCCAAAAACCCTCTACACACTGCCTTGAATGATCGTCACGCCTCCAACTCAATTGAGGTCAACTGACATTCGAAAACACTGCCTATCATAATCAGACGAATAATAGGCCCAATAATTATCGCTTCTTTGAGCCTCGCATCACTGACCCTCGGAAACACTTGTTTCAGGTACTGGAACGCAAAACCATCTCGTTTGAGGGTTTTGACGAAGTTTTTAATCAAACCAAGTTTGATGTGCACGGGTGGTAGATAGATGTGATCAGGTCACACAATAGGTGTATGCTTTACACTCATTTCCCCTGCAGCATAATTCGTCCTCTCTGGCCACTTTTCATTTGTGAAGCGCTGTTGAGTTGCTCTACTGTCCAATAAGCACAAGAAACAGCAATATTTTGTGAAGCCTTCTTGCATACCTATTTGGGTCCAATGAATTTCAAATTAGCACAGATGTTCCAACAGTACTTATCGTAGTTCAGGGCAGCGAGTATCTGTTGCAAACTTCATTGGTGGCAAGCAACAGAGACACCGTTGAGTACACATTTTCATTGTGGCGCAGTGTGGCCTTAACACTACTCTTGGACGGTGCAATGAATAAACGACATTCATCACTGATATGCCTCACGCCACATTCCTTCATCAGTCCTTCCGCACCGGAACAGTAACAGAAGGTTTCTCTCGTATCATAGAAGCCGGACAATTTAACACTGTGCTTAGTGTTTGCAGCAAGTAAGTGCAACTGCTGCAGCATGAGATGCCAGGAACTCGGCCTTGTCTTTAGACAAGCCCAGGTCACGTACCAAGTCATTCAGCTCTGATTGTTCCCTAGGATGTGGGTCAACAACATCAGCTTCAAAGTTTGCACATATGTCAGAATCATAGGACGTTGACGTTGCGGAATCAGTACTCATCATCAGTGACATGTTTACTGGAGTCACTGAAATGGATACGGTTCAATCATGATGAACTGGTCAAATAGCCGATGGAAGAGCGTGGGTCGAAACGCCGGCGTCTGGTGCTTTTGTAGATGAGCCTTGAATGAATGATGAATTAACTGAATTATACCCAAATCCTTACTACTCATCAATGATATTAAAATTCGGTCCGTGTGGCTTTTAAGTCCTTTTGCCGCGCCGGGGCACTATTCGAACTTACTATCTCGTGAGGCCAGTATCTGTCCAGTGCACAGTTCGTAACTGGCAACGCAGTGGATGGGGAGCGGCACTACAACATGGATAACTGCGATGCACACAGATCCGCGGCTGTCACCCGTTGCGAAGTGGCACTAGCTGCAGGCATCCAGAAGTCATGGGGGCCGAACCCGGCATAGGTCCGCTATGATGCGTACTACTGACGAGACCCAGAAGGTCAAATCGCCGTCGTCTGGTGCTTTTCCAGACTAGCCTAAGCCTGCTGATTGAGAGTGTCATAATGGTCTAGCTGAATCAACCTTGTACTTGTTTCGGTTGGCGATTCTAATGACACTGGTCAGGCAGTAGTAGCAGTCTGTCGTGGGATCCTGCTGCTCCCTCCACACCATGGAGATTGCAAAGAGCATGCTGCCTTTACCCTTACGCCACAGAGTCAGATGAAGATTGCACGGCACAAAAACAATGTGCGGCGCCCACATCTTATCCTGATCTCCTAGTTTGATCCCGAAACATGCTTGGTAGTCAGACTTCGGTAGTGAAGAAATGGGTCTGCATTGTGACTGTATTAAACTGCCGACAGACATAACAAAAGTGGTTTCGGCCATTGACACTGTAGCGTCTTTCATCAATGATCAAGATATCGATTAAGAAGACGCAGCTCTCAATCGACTTTCAGTGTCAGTTGGACACTGAAAGGCTTCTTTTCCACCAGTACTGGGAGCCAATTGACCAATCACAGGCGAGCATTAAATGTATGGAACGCATTGCTTTGCCGGAATAAGAAATTGAAATGAAAATTTCCTGCGTAATAGAATCATTTGGTTTGCTCATTAGTAGTTAGCTATCTTGATACTACTAGAAATATTTCGAATTTCTGTTATAAAAATTATGCACTATGCTTTCAATGGAACATTGGTATATTACGAGCAAAAAGCAGATGCTTAGCAAGTCTCGTAGGATGGCCAAAAAGAAAGCAAAACCTGGTGAATAGAAAACAAGGGGATAAAATGCAAATGATTTTGGTGGACTCACCACAGTGTTAACATAGAGATGCGCAGAAAGGGCCAAATTCAGTGGTGTAAGTTAGTTTTGGTTTTGCATTTATCGTAGCATTATATCGTCTGTCGAGACACGCAAGCTATATCTCGTAGTGTTGATGAGTTAAGAAAACGACAAGGTCTTTGTTAAACACAGGAAAAGTGGAGGCGGAAACAAGGAAATTGGGCAGGGCGTTCCATAGCTGACACACACGAAGAGAGTAAAAGTTGCGACTGCATTGACTGGTTAACTTAAACTGGTGGCCCCCTCAAATTCGTGTTGTGGCTCAGTTGTAGTAGGTGAAGAAAGATGTGGTTCGTTAGAATCTAGTAGGCCATAAAATGGTCGCCACGTAGGCGCCGGTACCGTGTACTGTATACTTTTAGGATCCTCAATCTAGGTTGATACGGACGATTGCACAACCCTTTGACGTGCTTCGTGGCTCGTCGCTGTGGAGTCTCGAGTGCTGCAAGGTCTTGCATGTGAAAAGGCTACCACTCATGGATTGTGTACTCCACGTGAGACCGCACGTAAGCGTTAAGCAGCTGCGAACAAACAGAAGGAGCAAACAGCCCAGATGCCCTCCACAGCATGCTAACGTGCTGGTTACTAGTATTTGACACCAACTCAGATTGTTTTGAGCAGCCCAGATCAGCCTGGACTAGTACCCAAAGGTAGCGCTCCTGGGTGACTGATTGCATTATATGATCGAAAAGCTGGTATGTGATGTTCGGCTGGTAGCGAATGTGAACCACCTTACTCTTTCCCCAATCGAACTGGAGTAGATTGTGGTGTGACAACCCGTACGCGCTGTCCAGGTCTCGCTAAAGTTCATCGCGATCTGCTGGGTCGGCGATCGTCCGCCACATCTTAACATCATCAGCAAACAACAAGAAAACTGAGGCAAACGCGTAAGCTCGTTAATGAACACGAGAAGGAGCCGTGGCCCCAGAACTGACCCTTTTGGAACTCCACATTCGACATAAGTCAAATCGGCCAGCGCACTTCGAACTCTGACCAGCAGTTGCCGATCCTGCAGGAAATTCCTGATCCAGCCAATGACCGGATCTCTAACTTCATAGCTTTCAAGCCTGTGAAGCAGAATGCGGTGGTGCTGTCGATCGAAGGTTTTGGAGAAGTCGTGGTAAATGATGTCTATCCCACTGCTTTCATCGACCGCTTCCGTCCAACTTCTACGCGCAATCAGGTTGTAGTGCATGAACGGTGCTAGCGGAAACCGTGCTGTGATATTTTGGCGTTCTAGATGGTCTACTAAAGCCTCAACGATGATTTTCTTCATCACATTTGAGAGCCCAGGGAGGAGTACCACTGGGCGATAGTTGGCGAGTTCCGAGCGATTACCGCTTTTGAAAATTGGAGTGATTAAGCCATGTTTCCACATAGTAGGTACAGTTTGCTTATCCAAGCAGCAAGTGTTGTTACTGCTACGTTCAGCGCCCTCAGGTGAATGTGATCGATTAGGGACGAGCTGTATGTGCGTTGTGAGAACAGTTTCTTCAACACAGCTGTGTAAGTACAATCGATGTTAGTGAGTGTTGAAGTTGGGGCTATTGATGTGTGCAAGTAACACTGGCGGAGGTCTCTTTGGAAGATTGGGGCATACTACATTCATAGGACATTGGCTGCCTCTTCGGCACTCCGACTGGCATGTTAAGTGAGGTGATACCGAGCTTCACTTTCCTGATGGTGTTGACATACTTGGATAGGAGCTTTTTGTTCTTGACAAATTTCCAGGCCAAATGTTGTTGGCGAAACAATTTGTCCTCACGAACAATCAGGTTACAGTGATTGCGTTGAATCACGTAATCGCTCCAGATTTGGGGACTAGAACGAGCTCTGTAAGTGTACCAAGCTGCATTCCTTATTGACATGCGCTTGCAGGTTTTACTTCTGATGGAAGACGAGGGTTTAGTGGAGCGAACTCTTCGTTTCTGAAGCAGTTGCGATTAGATTGTTGAAGCGTTCAACCAACTGAATCCAGGCGCTGTCAGATGAGCCACCTTTCAAGAATTTCCAATCGGTCGTCTCAACTAAGTCATTCAGGAGGTTATAATGTGTGATGGTACGTGTTAGTGCTGTTTGTTGCCTCGAATATTCAGCGTGACACACTTAGTAATAAAGTATGGTAACATGATCGCTTAACCCTAATGGGGTGTCTATAAATGGCCTGTCGGTCATGACTTCCACATTTGTAAGTACGAGGTCAAGTACAGATGGTTTGTTATCAGCCCTTTATTTGGTAGGTGATGTGATGTGATTGTATAGTGGGATACTTGCAATGAGGTCTTGCAGTTCGGCCTTGTATGTTTGGCTGGAAGATGCCGAGGTTTCCAAGTCGTGCACGTTGAAATCGCCGGAAATAAGAACGTGGCTGTAAGTTGGAAGTACGTATATCGTTAGTGATGATATTAGGTGGGAATCCATCTCTGGGGTGGACGATGAGGAACTCTATACGACTGCCACGAAGCAGTTGTCGTTGTCTGAGTCGCAAACGGCACCGAAGTGAATCGGTGACCCGCGTCTCCGGATCATGCAGTCACTCGCATTGTAAGTCGTTACGACACTATAGGAAATCATCACTTCCCCTGCAGGTACGATCGTGTCGGAACAAGGACATTCCCTGAATCGCGATATCGGCATCCGTAATCCCTGAGTGCAACCAAATCTCTTTTATGATGAGATCCGTAGAGTTTGTTGCCTGGCGCAACCGAAGCTCCTCGATTTTGCTGAGGAGTCCCTGGACACCCGTGTACATGCAGCAAAGTGTTTCGGTTCTCAGCGCCGATCGGAAACACATGGCGCTAGGATGAGGTTGTGCTGCCCGTTGTATAGTCGGCCGCTAGCCGTTTTTGTGGTATTGTCGGCGAGCCTCTTGGAGTTGTGTTCAGTGGCATGGTGTTTAACCCATCTGACAACTACTTTTGCACAATGCATGAGGAGTAGCTGCATGATTGCGCAGGGAAATCCTCACTTTCTTCAAACCTGTTTCTCGTGTGAATTCCGGATAAGGGCACTACTTATTTTGCTTGCTGTGGTGGTGCCTTAAGTCGGACGACAGTTCCGCTCGCCACTTTTAACCGGAATCCCGTTGACACTCTATACCGAAATGAAGGTCAGCGTTCCAGTAGCTTCATTTCCATGTGCCTTGTTTGTGGCACAACCTTGATTATCCTTGGACTTCAGCGTTGTAGCTTTCTGATCTTAGCAGCCTCGAGAGAGAAGTAGCGGCAACTTCATTCAAGAGCAGGGTCTCATGAATATAGTGCCATTGCTTCTGGTAGTATGCCTTTGCTTCGCTCTCATCGTGCTCTTGAGACTGGGGGACGCCGTAGACAAAACGGTTCTGGCTGCGGTGTTTAGCCGGAACTCTTCTAAGCTTTGTCTCGCTCGCTTGCACTCGCCCCAGAGAACGTCTGGAAAGACGCGGACCAAAACGTATTCGTGCTGAAGACGAACAGTCGAAAGCAACGCCGCTTCCACCACCATAACCGAGTTTAGCACAACCCAAAGAAACCTGGCTTCGTCAAAATGCTTGGAATTTTAGTGGTGGTTGATCCTCGTCAAGTTGGTGGGTTTACGAAAAATACCGAGGAGGTTAGTTATGGCATTCCGTTGGTTCAGGTCATCCATCTGGTTCCCCTTCAAAGAATTCGATTTTGTCTCAGGGACACTGGTTTACATCATAGATAGGGCATTCAAGTTTTCCTGAGTGTCTTTCATGGGCGTATGGACCGTAGTTGGGAGACCCAGCGATTTGCTGTGCATCCGTGCTGCGCTGCCTTTCCCATTAGTTGTGGGTGTGATTTTGGAGGGCACTTTGATGCAACAACGGCCCAGTTTCCACTTGTATTTGCATGTTTCCTGGGTTTCGGTGAAGTCTGCTAGGAGGAAGTGGATTTGGGGAAATTATTGTAAATGATCTGGGAGTGAAGTGTTCGAGATAGCTTGGGCGATTTGGATTATTGATGGTGTCTGCAGGAGCAACTTTATTAGTGCAGCATTCGGCGTTGTGGAGTTGGCTTGCCGTGGAGTTCCGTGATGGGACATGTATCAGACCTTCTGCTATGCTTGTTCATACCAAGCTATTTTAGTGCCCAGCATCTTCTCGACTACCTCTGCAAGCCTTTTCTGCGACAGTGCAAATTCGATTTTATCTAGTAGGACCGTATTACACTTCATACAAAAAGGAGTCATGATTGCTGCTGATCAGCCTGCACTCGCTTGGTGTGATTTTCCCGCATTTCGTATGGAAATAGATTTGTCAGTTAAATAGAAAACCCCTATTTTGACCATCTTATTGCACATTCCATAGACGCCTTTAGGTACAGCGGCACAGTTAGTAGCCCTTTCAGGACACTTGAACGTCTGACGGTTAGTCCTACCCAGAACTCTGAATTGTTTGATCCGGCGTCAACGTCAACCCACCGAGACAATGACTGTCTCAATGTCTCACTCTCTCTTGCGGCCGAGCGCAGATACTGGGATTCACTGATGCGCACATAAGCACACGAAGGCGCAGCGTGTTCTGATGGGGTCACATTATACGACGACGCACGCGAGTTGGCAAACTGTCTACGTCGCGATGTTTAGTAGGTGAACGACGCGAAATATCTCGTAACTTTGCTAATTTGCCGCCTGTAGGAATGCTTACAAGGTCGTATGAGTGTCTTCAGCTTCTGCTACCAAAATTATTCACGTAAAATTCGAGAGTGATGTGATTTCACAAACAGAACTCGACGAAGAATGTGCTGAAACTGAAAACGGGAGTACCAATACGATCCACAAAGTTAGCTCCAAGAGATGCAAAGCACTGAGTAGCGCTCCTCGAACTGTTTCGAAAGAGCCCACACCCAACTATGTGTGTGGAGAACTGGAATGCCCACAGCGAGCGAAGCGAGAGCCGAGATAAAGTGCGGCCGTACTGCAGTCACTGCACGAACAGCTGGTAATTTAAACGATGAGATGCATGGAAATGGTTCCTGATGGATCCCAGCCTAGGTGGAGTACTAACTCGTCGGCCTGAGGGTGTTGCTATGAATCAGCGCTACGTAGTCTAATCCAAACAGTACTTAGTAGCTTCCCAATGTTAATTGCCTGTAGTTTATCGAATGATACTTCATTCTCACCCAGTCGGGGCAGTATTAGTACTGATTTCCCGGCTCGGAAATAATTATTTCACGCGCTCGAGTTGATTGGAAGTACATAATTATGGAACAGATACATTGAACGATTATGGTCAAGGTTACATGATTTGGGACCCGTAGAAAGTAGCTCATTTGCACACTCCTGTTCTTATTTCTTTTCGCAGCCCTCACGTGATCGTGCCTGGAAACGTTTCAAGCATCGCTCGACAATTCTTACGATGCACAATGTATAATTTGGCCCCGAACGGACTATTCCTCCAGTTATTCCAAACAGCAATCCCTGGTGAGCATGCTCACACTTCCTTGCCAAACGTAACTAAATTACCACATAAGAGATGCCAAATTGCCACTGAGAAGCCTTTGAATTTTACAATGAGTCCAAACCGAAGACTAGCCTTTGATCTTTCTCCGAGGAAAACTCCTTCATGCAGATAGCTGTCAATTGCTCTTCTTTTTCTTGTATTCATACTTTGCGTAGCGAGATCTTTCCCATTGTCGTCTATCATAGTGAAGAGACTAGATACAACCACATTTTTGTGAACTTTTATCGTTATGGCTGCAACGATCTTAATGAGGGATGAATGTGTAAGGATGATGTAAGCAAGTTTGTCTTGTTGGTCAGACTTCCGCTCCTCTCGATGCATCCCCTAGGTTTATGCTTAGAACAAACAGAGAAGGCATTACTTTACTGATTGAATAGTGAAGTGATGAAGAAAATGACGCCCTGTGTTTGGTTCTTATTACGCTGGAGTGCTTTCAATTTGCTACTCTAGGAGTGACCTGAACCAAAACGCTTGGCAGTCATAACCACTTTAATTTCGAATAGTAAGCGTGGCGCAAATTTAGTAAATCCTTACGCCTGTTTTTCAGATGAACACTTTTTCAGGTGCATCATTAGCGTGCTGGTGGATTTTGAAGAACACATGTCGTTCTTTGAGCCGATCTTACTAGTATTGGAACCACTGAACAAACGGAAATCCCTGCCTACTGATTCACTGCCTACATTACTTGAGAACTTGGCCAATTATTTGGAACACTTACCAAATTTGACTGATGACACAAAGATCAACCACTTTATCGCCACCGGATGGAGTGAGATTATTGGCCCACTGGAGCTGTTCCTTCGCAAACTGGTCTGCGTGAACCCGGTGCCGGCCAACCTAGACACTTCTGTGCGTATAATGACTTACATACTGCGGTCCCCAGTGGCTTCAAATTTCAAGGTATGTGTCTGTACCCGACCTGTAATCTCAAGGATGTTTAAAGTTTGTGCAACTTCTTGCATGCGACTTAGTGTATTGCTTGCCACTCTCCTAACACTAAACAGCGATATACAAATGGGAACATAAGCTACCATGACAAAGTTTAGGCATATAAAGACTTGGCGAGGCACAAACCAATAGTTGAATTTCAGCAGAACGACTTAATTGGTTAAATGCTGCCGACTTTGATCACTGACCACTCGATGTTGTGGAGGGGGGGTGTGGGTGGTCTACGTCACGATTGAAGTGCCGCATCAGCATACATGGTTGAACGCGCAATCACTAGTTAGAGCTACTCAATTCCGTACAGATGTTATGCTGTCGCGTATAAGAGCTCAGAAATCTGCAAAATGTAGATACATCTTTCTTTTCCGCACACTCAACGGTACAGTACATATTATGTTGTAGATCTGCATAGAACAGTGGAAAGAGAGTTTGTAAACGCAACATAAAGGGTTGAACGGCAGCTTAGTGTTTGAGGCTAAGCGTTTCGAATATTTGACCTAATCGCACTTGTGTACGTCAATTGTGGTCAACATTTTTCCACCTTTAACTGACGGTAGACTGATTTCAAACAGTGCCGCACTGAAAGTTCCACTTGAATTTTCACTTTATTTTGAGATCGCTTAGCCACCTGGAAAACAAACTGTATATAATAAGGTGCAACCAACTGTTTAATTCGCAACAAGGCGAGGGCTTAGACTGTTGGGTCCATCTAGACACTAACAGCAAACTTCATATATGAGAAGCGAACAGCCGATTACACAAAATAAAAGGCTTCACGTAGTCAGCAGCTCACCGTTGGTTACTGAACAACATTTCTTTGTAAACACTGTTGGTTGAGATTTTGGAGAAAGGGCTTCAGCAACGGATGCCCCAAACGATTTAACAGTGATTAATATGTACCTGCGAGAGTTTCATTTACAATTCTGTTCGAAATAGTAGCATTAAACTCTCATCTAGCTTCCAATGAACCACCTTATTATTCCACGGCGATTACACTTCCAGACTCTTCCAGACACATTTGCGGCTTTGTTGCGTATTATCGTGGGGAACGTGACATTCAGACTCTGTGGTGTGATTGAGCTGTGCTCGCTCAGCAATCGAACACTAAAGGTAAGCCATACTAAATGAGCTCATTCGACTTTATTATACAGGATCAACTTACAAAATGAATTTCGGTATCACGCGGTGTGCTCGCGTACTGGTAACGCCTCCTTTTCTAAGTCAGTTGCACCCTTAGTGCCATCGAATTGATTCTTACGGAACTCACGTTCCTCCGTAAAGTCACTCAAGTTAATTCATAGGGTAGGCAAATTACGGTCAGTGCCCACGCACACGCACTCAGGTGCGCACTGCAGTGGAGGTGCTAGCCATAATTGCGATTGTTTGACTAGCTGATGCGTGGGGAATTGCATGCAGCCGCTGCTACAAATAAGACTACCGTGAGCTAAAAACGAGGTCATCTTACTAATTGTTAGGTTGAACAAGATGTCGCGAGTGGTTGACATAGTATACTCACCATCTGTGTACAGATATTGTGTCATCGGAACCATGGCGGAATAGGAAAACAAACAGAGTAAAAGAACACAAACAAACAACTTTTTGTCGAATTTTCCACTCAAAGATTTTGAGTTTGTTTAGTTTTTTATTGGATAGGAAAGGGGCATCACCGTAACAAGTAGAGATACACGACCGCTACTGAGTTCGGTTTCGAGTCATGACTTCCAAGGTCTTCCATCAGCGGCACTCAGCACCGTCACAACCCCATCCAGGGAATGGAGAAGTACCAACCGAGACCAGCTTCTTTGTCACCTTTTCCATCCTGCTTCTCCAAGTTGTAGGCTTCCGCCACGCCTCCTCCTCCAGCCCCGCCCAGCGACGGCGTACAAGGCACAACGCGGAAGACGCTAAACAGGCGTACACAGAACGTGTCCGAGCCATCGTAGTTGGTGCAGCGAGACAAGCGCCTCTAAGGAGTGGCTGCCTCCACCAAAGCCATGCTGTCTGATTTCAATGTTGGTTATGTGGTGCAGCCACCACCCACGGACGATGGACCGCAAGCAACAGTTCTCAAAGACGGACAGTCGTCGCAGGTCTTCTGTACGAGCAGGCCAAGTCTCAAAACCGCATAGCAGTACAGCGCCTACAGTCGCACTATAAATCCGCCATTTGATGAAGAGGCGGTCGCATGGTGGTGCCATAAATCTCTCAGCCTGGAGAAGACGAGACGAGCACTTGAGATGCACATCGAAATCTTGTCTCCAACAGCTCCACCAGCAGTTATGTAGCTTTCCAGGTAGACAAAACACGATACAACTTCCGGCGTCTCACGATCGATGGTGAGTGTAGGTAAGGACGTATACCAGTCTATAAAATGCGCTTTGCACCTGTATGATGAAGAGTGCATGCCATACTTCCACCCTTCAATCGACAGGCGGTTAAGTGCAAGTCGGAAGGCTTGCAAAGCGTCACCCAACAAGGCGGTATCATCAGCGTAATCCAACTATACCACCGGACTAACTGGGAGGAACTCAACGCCAGGATTCAAGTCGTTTACAGCTTTTGTGAGGACATCTTCAATGGCGAAATTGAAGAGGAATGGAGAGATGGGGCATCCTTGTCAAACCCCACTAGTGACGACAAGGAATGGCGAAAGCTTGCCATAAGCCGTAACTGTACCCGATGTCAGACTATACAGAGTACGCATAACGGAAAGGAACTTCCCTGAAATGCTATTCCTCAATGGGCGGTGCCATAATGCAGTCTTTTCGACAGAATCGAAGGTAGCACGGATATCCAGGAACACGATAATTGTTGACTTTTGATATACATGGCGGAGCTCGAGAATCTGGCGGAGTGTGAAAATCTGGTCGATGTAGCGTCGATCACGGCGGAACCCAGCCTGTTCTTCTCGCTGTAGTGATTAATGCGTTAGGGATTTCCTGCGAATAATGATGGACACCAGAGTTTTGAAAACCATGGAACCAAACTTATGCCCCTGTCATTGGAGCACTTTGTGCGCAGGCCTTTTTGAAACTGGGGACGACTATCGGCTCACTCCAGGATGATGGAACTTCCTCTTTTGCTCAGACTTCTGAGAAAAAGCGGTGAGTTCTCGAACCAACGAATAGCCCCCATCTTTAAATAGAACAGGTGATATACCATCAGGGCCGGGTGACTTATAACTCTTTAGTCAGCCGTTCCCGCCCGATTTCCCGGTAAGAGGGAGGAGTAGTGAAGACAGTACACTCGGCACCAGTGCGCGCCCCAGAAGATACAGATGGAGCTGGTGGCCATTAAAACTATGGGCGACAATGTTCGGTCACTCCATCCAAGCGTCGTCAAAGATTAGTGATTAGGGAGTCAACCCCTTCGCAGACTGTTTCGATTAATCCAGTTCGGAAGCCTTCGGTGACTCGGATGTAGTGGGACAGTTTTCTGGTATTACTAGAGAGATTAACAAGTTCCAGCTCTTTAGCACCTTCACACCACCAGGCTATACCATCTTTCTGTAAGCTCTTACGCAATGCTCGATCCAGGGATCGGCGTTCTTCACTACAGCTGATGTCGGCTGGGATCAAGTGGCGTCTGTCAGCGACAAGGAGACAGTGGTGATCCAGCTTTTCGGAGGATGACAAGCAAATCCACAACTGACAGTACTAGCAGAAACTAAGGAGTCTTTGATGCGCAACCATTGAGAATCCAGATCATCGTCAGAGGATGAACTAAGCAATGTTGACAGAGCAGTCTGGCACTTGACTATCGTCGCAGGATGTTGCAGTTTTTCGACGTGCTGTCGATAGTGCGTACGTTTGTGTGCTCCTCCGAAACGCATGCAAATCTTGACGGGAGTCCAGACAGGTTGAGCAGTAGGATTGGCAGTGTGTAACGCTTGCAAGCCATCTGTAGCTTATTGCTATGTAATCAAGTTGGGATTACTCTTGCCTTTGAGAAGGCGGATGCCATGTAGTCGTTTGTCTTTTCGAATGCCGAAACTGGGGCTCGCAAGAAACAAGCGATGCTCAGTACAGAGAGTCAGTAACCTGTCTCTATTGTGTGATCGACTGCCACCGAGACCAAAACCACCCCCAAGCTGGTGCTCGCTTGGTGGCAGGCGGTCCACTTGTGCCTTAAAGTTTCCGGCAAGAATGACAATGTCAGACTTTTGCGGAAAGCACACTGTCATGTGGCTGTTGGTAAATGCACTCTTTGACTGCATCCGGGCTGCAGTCCGTAGGAGCTTAGGCGGAGTTGACAAACGAGGCACGCGTAACATCTCGACACTTAGTTAAGTTACATGAACCTAGTAGTCTGACTGCACATAGCCGACTGTTGACTGGGATCCAGTCAAGCAAAGCCGTCTCAGCCGTCACTCATTGCAACCCCAACGCCAGCTTGGCCAGAAGCGGTGGTCTATGCGTCTCCGGAAAGGCGCAAGTGGTATTTGACGTCAGGGTTTGCCGGAGAGATCATTCTGATGACGGTACTGGCTTCTTGAACCTAGTTTCCCAAGGGAAACAGATGTCTACCGAAAGTTTCGCAAGGGTGCGGGGCCAGGTATGCTTGTCATCCGATCTGAATCAAACTGCGTACATTGAAGGCTGCAATGCCGAAGGGAGAACCACGACGAAGGAAAGCTTGGGCTCCGGTGGAGTGAGATAATGTTGTGACCACCGGGCAACGAACACAAAATGTTTGGACCAGAACTCTGTCAGATACGACCAATGAGCTGTTCTCGCTCGTGACCTGGAAAGATTTAGGTGTAGTTAAGGAATGGGAAGTGGGAAGATCTGTGAGCGGATGTTGAACACCAGAGACAATAAAGTCGGTAAACATAGCAAGAGCAGTAGTGTACTCCATCCACGGTTGGTCAGTGAGCGTGATACTACCCGGTTGTGCAGGCCGAAGTGGAGGTTTGTCCTAGAAGGTCCCACCCAGAGCCTTTGATCCAGGATCTAACCTACAAGGCAGCAGGGCGATATGAGGCTATCGTAACCCGTTGGGATCCAGTGACCAAACAAGTGGTTTATACACATTTAGGACCGCATAGGACCAGGGGCCCAACATACCCTTGAATTGCAATGCCGCTCAGAGAGAGGCAAGGAGCAGGGACTCTATTTAGTGCCCCGTCATATCCGCCACGTCACGGTGTTGTTAGAGGGATAAATGTGGCTTTTTATTGGGGCAACGCTTGTCAGGCGAAAACTCACCACGTCCTGGAATACTGCCGCTGAAATATTTGCTGGAACGGAGAAGACCCATGCCACCCAGCTGGCACCACATGGAGGTTGTGCGACAAGCCAGCCCCTGAAGCGAACTGCAGTGGAATAAGTCACATAAGTAGTGTCAAGAGGATTCCTACTGCCTAAATAAACGTTCAACCAACAGCGGACGCAATTGATGCGATGCACACATAATCACGTGTTTAAAAGACAATTATCTGAGGATTATTACACTGAAATAGAAAAGCAATGTATTTATCATTTGTGTAGAAGTTAACCACCTGCATAGATCTCAAGGCGATGGCAAAGAACTGCGATCCAAAATGTAAGCTAAACAAAGATGGAGGAGAGTAGAATAACTTTAACAGTAAAATGGTAAGAAATGTAAGAAAACACTGTGCAACAAAAATACCTTTTTCCAGTACAGAAGTGCCAATGTCGTTGGAATTCACTCCACTGATCGTGGAACTGTATTCCGATGTTACCTAGCATGTGTCAGGTTACATTGTTTTAAGCAGATGATTATTTGCAGTAATGTCAAGGCCACGTCGTAGGAAGTGTAGGTAAATGTACTGAATCACAACATATACAGAATGCATCTATGTGGCAAATATGTTAAAAACGTCACTGCAACACTCGCCGCTAACTACTGACTGCAGCTTGGCACTGGGAAATGATGATTTCGCCGAGATCGTCGCTTGTATGATCCAGCGCCCTCAAGCCGCAGAAACCAGCAAAGTCACCCATCATTGATAGCATGTACTTACTACTGTAGCGCTGCTCCATGACTGCATTGTCTTGGTGAAAACGCTCACCATGCTCATCGCTAACAGCTCCCAAGTTCGCAGGGAAAGTCAAGGTGATTATGTAAAGAGGGCATCTTAAGCGCCA